CTCTGCCATACCCTCGAGCACCTGTAACTACCTCGCCCCAAGCACGCCGCGCGCCGAACCCTAGCTTCCACCGCCGCACGCTGCGCCGCCGATTCACCACATCACCGCCATGGTAAGCCTCTTGCCGAGCTTCACCAAGCGCTAGAGAAGGCCCTGGTTCCATTTTCTCTCTTTTCCTCCATCTCTCTTGCTCACTGTGTGTCGCCGGACTTTGTAGAGCCCCAACGTCCGCCGTCCTGAGCCTCTGCTCGCCTTTGCTTGCTCGCTGCCATCTCTGAACCCATAGCCGAGATCGTAGTCATCTCCTCTTCCTCCCTATGTACTTGATTTGTCCGATTAAGCCCGGAATCGGCATAACACCGAACCCCGATGAGGTTTACCCGTTGTCGGCCATGGCACCGTACCATTCTGACCCTGTGCCAATCCCCATCTCCCCCCCTTCTGTTTCCCACCGTCCAAATCATGATCTACAACTCAGATTGGTTATTGACTCCGGTCAATACCGGTCAACGAAGTCAGCTGTGTCTATTTTGCAAAAGAGCCCCTGCCCTTTTCTAGTATAGAACTCGCAGTCCATAGTATATTTCCGGAATACGTCTTTTTCTTTGGAAAGCGTAGTTTTCCTTCGGTTAGATCCAAAATACGTTTTCATCTATTTACAGTTTTGCCACTATTTTATTTAGGCCATAACTTCTCCGTTTTAACTTCAATTTGATCCGTTCAAGTTGCGTTAGATTCGTAATTGCGTAATTTACATGTTTATCATACTGTTAAATATATTTTCAACTTTTGAAATTTGAGGTTAGATTTAATCTATTATTTTATTAAAGGAGATCTTGTTTAATTCATAATTTCTTCGTTATAGCTCCGATTAGAGTGCTTTTCGCGTCTGTGTGTTCGTCGCGAGACGTAGATTCATTTTACAAACTTTTCATCTTTATTTTATGTTTAGTGTGTTATTTATAATTTAGATCTATTGTTTGCTTCGGGTATGATTGCATGAATACTTGTGTGGTACATTATGATCATGTTTAGTCGGTGAGCTTTGCGTTGGTGATATAAAAGAAGTTGGTGATCCAGAAAAAGTCCTTTGGAGGTTACAATTCAATAGAAGAAGATATGAGTTTAAGGCATGTATAGCATGGGATCATCTTTGTTGTCCTATTCACCTTAATATCATCTTAATCATATGCATGTGTCTACTTTGGCAACCATAGTAATTTTTCTAGCTATTTGATATCCTAGATTTCTTGTCACCTATGGGTTATTGCATTGGGCACTATTATGCTAGTGCTTAAACTAAAGCCATGATCTTGTAACTTAACTAATGGAATATGCAATAAACATTAAAATATGCTTTTTAGCAACATGGAACAAGGGGGCTAGAGCATTGGACTATTTTATGGTGCTTTAGATTTCTCTCCGTAAGGACTTATCTGTAAGTGATTATCCAGGAATTACAGTACAACTGTGAGGGCTACATGGCTCTGGCTTTAGCTCAGTATGAGGACCTTTTTTAGCTTGTTAGTGGCTACCTTTATTGGTGTAAAAATGACTTGACGAATCGGGTATAGTGCGGCCTCTGTCCCCTTGTGTATAGGTTGCGCGTCATTGTGCCATCGAGAAGAGGGGCTCTACATCTATTTGTCGAGTGAATCTAATGGCCCTAACTTGTTAGACGAACCTTTAAAAGACTTCATAGTGAATCATGTCTGTTCACCTTGAAAGTGTTTTAGGAGTAATTAACCCGGACATATGGGTATCATGACTCACAGTGAAAGTGTACAATATCTGCAGAGTGTAAAACTGGTATATCAGCCGTGCTCACAGTCACGAGCGGCCTTGAAACCCTTATAAAATAGATGATGAACACTGATGATACTGATGATGAAGATGCTCACTAATGATTAATGTTTATACTATTCATTATTCATGTTTACCTGATCATGTGTTTATGTGGGCTTGTGGATAAACTTGTTGCTACTCAATTGCTAAAATTATGACTCTTTAAAAGTTAATCGCAGTTAAACCAGTGTTAGCCTTTTGAGCCTCATAAACCCCATGATATATTTGTTGAGTATGGCATGTACTTCCGCTTGCTTTATTTTCCAATTATTTGGATAAAAATCCCGGATGGATACCAGATTGCTAGAGTTTGGAGAAATTAGGCTTGTGATTAACTAGTCAGTTGTCCCTGTGGAATTAGAGTCTTCATTCGAAGATCGAAGTTGCCTTTCCGCTTTTGCTATTTAAGGTTATTCTTTATATTAAGTACGTTATATATTGAGCATTGTCTATTGATATTACCCTTATTTATAGTTATATGTGAGATTTAACTTTTAGGCTCACATATGGTATATATCTGATTTTTTTCTTAAAACCGGATGCTACAGGGAAGCTTTCAATGGCGTTGATGACACAACCATGTGGTCAAGGCTGAAGTAGTTATTGTATTTTATAAAATGATGAGCATATTATAATCATTTAGACATTTTCCACTCACTGCAGAGTACGTACATATTCTACAACCAACTATATCGATATATTTCAAAATATAAATAATAATTTGTATTTTCTAAAACTAATAAAACAGTTTCTTTTGCACTAATTTAAATTTAATTCCCTCCTGTGCAAGTTGATGTTTAATACTCATATATGCATTTGATATTTTCTTATTGTTTTAAGGCAAATACCGGTTTTACTAACATGTGTCATGGTTTTTGAAAGTTTCTGATTTATAAAATGATTTATTTTTAAAAAAAGTTCAATTGCACATATAGGATTATTCAAAATAAATGTCGATACCTAAATCATGTCGGAGGCTTTAAGGTATTGCTTGGATGCAAGCTAATTTTTACCTAAGTCAAAATATGGGCAAGTTTAAGAGATTTGGCAGGCAATTGGTTTCTTGCCAAAATTTTGGCAACACCTTCTAACCATTTGGCAAGACAAGTTCTCTCTTGTTGGTAGCAAACCAAGTGTCAACCTAGATTGTCTTACCAATATATTGGCTTCCCGTAATATTGGCTTGTCCTAAAATTGGCATGCCAGATATTAGTCTTCAACAAAGAAGGCTCTAACAGACATGTGATGTGGACTAGAAGTGGACAGCAAAAATCTTTTCAAATTATCACATTAGATTACAAATAGAACATAGCTTGTTTTCCAATAGCTTACGATTTGCATGGATAATAGGAAATATACTTCACAAATTTAGCACAAGAAAAGTAAACAAATATCAGTCTCTTCAAAAAAAACCATTTGCATTTTGTTTGGATCCTGATGTTACTGCGAGTTAGAACTGATATTTGCGGTTCATGACTTCTTGCACATTTTCCATAATCATAGTCTCTATGTAGCTCCTTGAGACGTTGATGATACCAACGCATTTGAAACAAAATTACTCTACAGTCTGTGAAAGCGACCTCACAGTCCAGTTGCATCCACAAGATGTATCAGCTTGGCAGCTTGTAACCGAAATATCAGCTCTCAACTTTATTTTGATATAGTCTCGTAATTGTCATCTAGGTAGACAATTCACGATTTGAAAAGATATGAAAGCGAATTGTCTAGGTAGACAACTCTTGGCAAATGCTCCCTTGCTTTTCCAGACATTTCATAGTGGCATTTAGAAAGCTAAATTCCTGTTATCTGCATTATTGCTTATGCAATTTCAAGAGAAATATGAGTCCTAGCCTTTGAGAATATTTAATTGTGAACATCTAGAGAAAACGTTGTTGTATTGACCTAAACTTTCTCAGCAAAGATGAGGGAATTGGATAAGTAGAAAAGGTGGACTGAGTTATGTGTATCTACTATTAGGGTGGAAGCTGTATATGTGTTTCTAGCGCAAGTAAGAAAACCCTTAAAATAACTTGTTATTTCGTCAAGCGATCTTTGGAAGATCGCAGTCATGCTGATAGTCTATTTAAGTTTACCCCAGGATGGCAGTTGACATGCTAACATATTATATGCATTTTTAGGTGAATAAATAGTATAACATCATGCCATATCTCCCTGTTAGGCAGGGAGTCTCAAATGTGAATTTATCCATTTACAAATGAACTTACTCAGTAAAATCATGTGACTAATATACCAGCATTGCCATCAAAGTTCTCAAACTGAGTAATCACCCCTATTTCTGCTTAATGTGAATGAATGGAAGAAAGGCCATTTCTAGGTGGGTAAACAAAAGGTGTCAATGCAGAGAAAACTATTGTGAAAAAGAAAATCAAAGTACGTGCAGTCTGAGTTCAGTTCCATACCTTTTGCCTCACGAGTTCATGTACAAATATTATTACATTGCAGATACTTCTCGGTTCATGTAATAGTTGTCTCAGGGAACTGTGCAGTATTCAAGAATCAATGCAGAAACTTAATACACCAGAAAAATTGAGACCCAGCACAATGTCTATTAGCTAACTACATATAAGACTAAGTGACTAACGTAGTCAATAGAACCCTCTTTAGCTATCATTTTAGATTTTACCATCTCGTGTCCTATAGTAAGACAAGGCTTGTGACAAGAACAGATTAGCAAACAAACCCACAACAGTGGCATCCACTTCTTGTGAACATAGAACGAGTCTTGACTCATGACCAAACATTTCTGCTCATGTGTCCACAAACCTGGAGGCCATATGTCAGTTTCAAAAGCTGTTATAACCTCCAAACCACACATAGTGGACAGTCTCTTTCTCCTTTCTTAAAGACACTGAAAGATTGTGCGATTTCAATTTGTGACCATCATGCTTTATCTCTATCAACCTGTCCATATCATCTCAAGAAGTGGTTTCCTCACATTTTAGCACAATACAGTAACACGAAACACTGAGCCTTAACTATTGTATACTCACGCTGAGTTGCCAATGCATCTCATTCCCTCTTTCTTCCACTATTGTATACCGTACTCTATTCTCTTTACCCTTTAATTTAATGCATACACTGCAGTAGTGAGGTGTGTGCCCCAACAGAGTAGATTTTGTTCAAGCACTTCAGACTCAATTGCTCGTTATATGGAACCTATCAGCATCTAATTCAACTGAACTATATCCAGGAAGCTTATTGACTTTAACTTCTTTCATGAAGCCTCTTATTCTCTCTGCATCACTATACCTCCCAGCATTTGAATATATGTTTGCCAAGCTCACATAGTAGCCACTCTTTCCAGGAGACATGTCCATCAATCTCTTTGAAACCAATTCAGCAGACTCCATTTCTCCATGCACTCGGCAGGCTGACAGTACACCTCCAAGCATGGCCTCGTCAGGCTCAAAAGGCATTTCCTCTATGAGCTTCACAGCCTCAACAACATGCCCTGCTCTCCCAAGCGTGTCAGCCATACAAGAGTAGTGTTTCCGTTCAGGCTCAATACCCCACAGTTTCATCCCCTTGAAGATTGCATACGCTTTGTCCACCATGCCTGAATGTGCACAAGCTGACAATGCCCCAAGAAAAGTGACTGAGTTCGGTTGGATTCCTTCAGCTGCCATTCTATCGAAGAGTCTCAATGCAACATCAGAATGCCCATTCAAACCATGACCAAGGATCAGAGCACTCCACGAGATAACATCCCGTCTAGGCATCCCAGCAAACACCCTCTCGGCGAATGCAAAGTCCCCACACTTGACATACATGTCCACAAGTGCGTTCCCGAGGGGCAGTGGCATCCCTAGTAACCTCCGGAAACAGCAGGCGTGCACACTTCTTCCATGGCGGCGCCACCCGAGCTGCCCACAAGCGAGCAGCAAGCTGACCATGACCACCGCGTCCAGCTCTATCCCTGCTGCCACCATGCTACCAAAGAACCGCAGCGCCGCGTCTGGTTCCCCGCCCTGCGCGTAGGCGGACAGCATGGAAGTCCACAGGACCGCGTCCCGCTCGAGCATTCTGTCGAACAGCCTCCGCGCGTCGGGGAGGTTCGACAGGCCCGCGTAACAGAGCACGAGCGCAGACGCCACGAAGAGGTTTTCCTGGGCGCCGAGCTTGACGACGAGCGCGTGGGAGGTGGAAGCTAGGCCCGCGGCGCCGGTGAGCGTGCAGGAGCGGAGCACGGGGGGCAGGGTGAAGTGGTCCGGCCGGACGCCCCGCGCGAGCATGTCCCGGAACGTGCGGAGCGCCTGCGCGGGGCGGCCGGAGCGCGCAAGCGACGCGAGGAGGGAGTTGAAGGAGGCAAGCGTGGTGGCGGGGGCAGGCGGCATCCGGCATCCAGCGCGGTTAGCGATTGCCTGCTGGGTGCTGGCAACGCACCAAGGACCGCCGTCTCGCCGGCCGCGCGGCAGGGAGTTGGGAGCGACGAGAAGAAGTGGGCCTGAACCTGTGCGAATTGCGATTGGGCTGGGAGTGTGGCGTCGCTCGCTGCTTGAGGCCAGAGTTTTATTAAGAAAAACATATTTTAGAGCATGTCTAAGAGTTTTTTTTTAAAGCTTACTCTCTAAATTATATCATTTAGAGAACCATTTGTATACAAATTATTTTCTATATCTTTCCACTCTCTAATAATTTTTCTATATCATTTTTGCACTGCAGATAGAGAAATCCAGAATAGAAGATAACTATATTTGGATAATCAATTGAAGAAGTTGTTGATGAGTATAGCACTACTACAGAAAACTTAACCGAGCGGGCAAAAACGATTAACCGAGGTGGGCACCCTGTCCGCCTCCGTGGAAGGGTCACGGTAAATCCGGTCTTAACGGAGGCAGTTGGTCGCCCGCCTCGGTAAATCAAATAAAAAAAATAATAAAAAAACTCGTGGACAAGCCCAGCGAGCCCACCCACGGGCCCGCCGAGCCCATCCACGGGTTGCTGCCGTCGTCGTTGCTAGCTAGAGGAGCACATCCTGCCTCGCCCGCTGGATCCGCCTACCCGCCACCGGATCCAGCCACCCCGCCGTCGGATCCGGCCTTGTCGGCCGCGGATCTACTATCGAGAAACGCACCGACCCTAGATCCGCCGCCAGGGGGTGGGCTCACTATAGATCCGGCCGCCCTCCACCGGATCCGGTCACCCTCCACGGGATCCAGCTAGGGGCGGTGGTGGAGGTGCTCCAGGGTGAGGGAGGGGCCACCCGCCGTGCCTCCACCATTGAAGGAGGGGCCTCGCACCCCGCGCTGCGTCATCGCCGGAGAAGGTGTCGCACCGTCGCTGGAGGAGTAGAGAGGGAGAAGGAGAGGGAGGCCGAAGTGGAGAGGGAGAGAGAGGTCGGAGCGAAGAGAGTCACGAGATCTGGTGGAGATAGGGAGAGGCAGCGGGACTACGGGAGAGGAGAAGCAGTTGCGAGGGAGAGATGGAGTCACGAAGGAGAGAGTGAGGGACGCGAGCCGCCGGGTGAGGGAGAGAGTGAGTGCTAGGGTTTCATTCTTGCATATATATACTGTGATGTGGTGTCGGGCCATGATGGGCCGAGATGGATTGTGGGTGGGCTTGGCCATATTAACCGCCCACCTCCGAAAATGGAGGCATTTTTCCCGCCTCAGTTAATAGATTTTAGGAGATGGATATTTTTTAACCGCCTCGGTAAATCAATTTTGCGAGGCAGTTGATTGTGACCGCCTCGATTAATAAAAATGTCCGCCTCGATTAATCCCAGGCATTAACCAAGGCGGTTGAAATGTCCGCCCGCCTTCAAGGCCTATTCCCAAACGCCTCGCATAAGTTTTTCTATAGTAGTGTAGAGAGAGTCTCTTGGAGTTGCTCTAACCTTCCAATATTATACAAACTCTAAAATAAGATATTTTATGTTTAAAATCTACTTGGTTTAAAAGTGATTTTGTAAGGCGGTTTCTTCCTTTCTTAGTTAAAAACTCAAATAGTTTTGAACTTGGAAAATTTTCTAAGCTTCTAAAAATTCCAAAAAGAAAACCTCTAAGACACATTAGGATAAAACAAAATCCAAATAATAATATTTAGAGCCAATGTAAATATCTTTATTAGCTTCTAAAAATATATTCATCTCTTGGAAAAAATACATTATAAAATCAAAAATTTCCATACATTCTAATTGATGTTTAAATATGTTTTAAAAACTTTTTATAACAAAAATATGAGGTGCAATAGAAAAGCATTGCAACATACATTTAATGCCGAGTACATTCATGCCAGTTGTATGTCGTGTTTTTATGTGGAAAGTTTTTAAAACATGTTTATATCGATTAAAATGTTTAGGGAATTTTCTAGATTTTTGTAAGCATTTTTTCCATTTTCCTAAACCTAAATCTAATGTTTCGAAGTTTTTAGATATACTTTCAAGAGCTCAAAATATTTTATCTTTTTTTTCCAAATTATCCCTAGAATTTTCTTAAAATGTTTAGAAGCTTAGAGGCATTTTTCATGGTTTAAAAACCATATTAGGTATTACTAGATATATTTTAACTAAAAAAGTAAGAAACCACCTTGCAATCCACTTCTAAAATTGTTGGACAAAATATGGAAAAAGTCCTTTTGACCCCGTCAACTCTTGCTTAAAATTGGATAGTTTGTTGGTCTAAGGAAATTTGTTAGTCCAAATTTGAAAATATTATGCAATTAAAATTTCTAAAATTTGTTTAATGTAGATAATTCGTAGAAAATGTTTTACCTTGGAAAAATATGAAACCGACTTTAGATTTTCCTAAGATCATGCTCTCTCTCGTGGTGCCTACATTAGAATTATTTGAATCTTCTATGATCCCCTTTTATGTTTATTTTCTATTAGAGGCTCTCGTTATCTACTATATTTATTCTATGTTGATGAGACACACTACTTAGAACTTCAAATAACTTTGTCGACAACACATGTGTCATATAACTACCTATCCTATTTACTATGAACACAAGTGTCATTCCATGTTGTCTACACTAACATGATTATATATATATAGGATAAACAATAAAGTGACATTAACATGATCACCACAAAAAATCTACTGATACACGACGGATTGCTTTCGTCACAAAAGCCTCGAAATTCGTCATAGAATGCCATCCGTGACGAAAAAATTTTCTGTCATATATCACAGACTGGCTGCGAGCCATCTGTGACGGTTTTTGACCGTCATGGATCCTCTAGAAGTCCACTTAGCCTACTCTGGGCCGGGCTGAGCCCGATAACCTGTGACGATTTTTGCCATCACGGATAGCTTCCACGTAGGATTTTTTTTCTGTCACAGATTTGAGTCGCCATGTAAGCACCATGTGTTCGCCTAGGTGGACGCTGACGTGTCTTCAGTGCCACGTAGGATTTAGCCCAAGTGTTTTTTGCCCATTTTGGGTTTGTGGGAGCTTTGGGCCTATTTTACACCCAACTGATTATTTTGTTTTGGGCTGATCTGATTTTTTTGCGGGCCTTTTTTCAGCCTTTTAATGGACATGTAGCCCAGCTCAAATTGGGCTGTTATTAGATTTGAGCCCACCTGGCTGATAGCAAAATAAAAATATTTTCATCCTTAATTTTAGCCAAATTAATTACCAATCATCATTAATTTAACACATGCTCTCATCATCAGTAACAAAATAGTTCCAGATCAGCACATAAATATTCTGATAACACATTACAACCTTCACATCTCATACAACATAATTAAAACCTGTCCAAAAGCACATGACAATACCGAGCAGCCACCAAGCAATTTTGCCACTCCAGCATCAAAGTTCGCATATGTTTAGGACCAGCAAACTAACAGTTCAGTAGCATATGTTAGATTATTTTTTTTTCCCGTGCTCTAGTGGCAATAAAAAATTGCAGTGTGTGGTCAACAATCTGACAGTACAGTAGCATATGTTTTGTTTACAAGCATTATAAACGATCGTAGCAGATTTCTTTCTCTCACAAAAACCAGCTTCCATTTATAAACAAAATTATAGCGTGGCTTTGCTTAATAAACAAAAACGAAAAAATTATAGTTGCACCCTTGCATGCATCGCTAAAACAAGTTTGCTGCTTACCTGTTGAATTATTGTAGTTGATAACTGCTGCACGCCTACTCTGTTGCCACACTCTGAGCTATTGTTGTAGGAACCAATCCTGCACGCAAGAATTTGCCGAAGTAATGCATGCACAGGCTAACTGAATTTAAGCTGTTCCTAGGACTAAATCAACCAACACACGAGAATAGGTAACTGCTGGTGCTGCTAGCCAACATAGAGAAAAACTGGGACAGCTACAAGTTCAGTTGCAAAGACCAAAGCTGAATAAATGAGCTCTCCTAAAAGCAACTTGACTAGACAACATCTAGCTAATGCAAGGAACCGTGCAAGTAACTAGTACCCAGCAGCCGGCACTTTGGCCACTCCAAAAGCTTGCACAATGTAAAAGGAAAATGAGAAACCTGAAAGTAGAAACATGATAAAAAATTGTAGATGGGTAACAGGATAAGTAACAAGTCGTCTGTGCAACTGAACTTATCAGTAATGTCACCAAATATGATAAAAATACCTTCTGCATGTCGTTGCTACATATTACTTGTGCATGTTGATACTTCTTAACCACTAGTGGAGGAATTCCGCAAGCACACAGAACTATCACGTAGCATTTCGTTCGGTGAGTACCGAGTGTCGAATTTATATTTTTCCCACAGGAAGGCGAAGACTATAATTTATATTTACTGTTATGATTGCTAAGGTAAAGCCTAAGTGTATCCTATGTAGGTAACGATATGAGTGGTTTGTGTGTAAACTACCTACTAAACTACTGAACAAGCTACACTAGAGATAGCTAGGTGGGAGAGCGAGCGATTTATCTGCCAAGTAACTAAGGGTAAACTAATGACTAGAAGAAATATGCTAGTACTTCGGGGCACAGCCCACCTACCAACTAAGAGAGTTAAATAGAGAAGGTCTACCACTAACCCTACGATTTAATAACTAGACCTAACCTGGTGGAATACAGATGATGTACAAGGTTGTCACCATTTGCCACCTACCACAATCTATCCGGAGGCCTAGCCATATCCACAGGAAATATCTCGCTTAATCTATAGGCTTATTACGATCCGAGCTCCGATGAAATGAGATCAAAATACCCTAATCAGACAGTGGAACCGATACTAACAAAAGATTACTAATAATAAGATAACCTACGCTACTAATGTAAACAATAAGCACCTAAGCTCACTAATGATGAACAATAATGAACAAGTACTTAAGTAAAGCAAAGCAATAATACTATAACAAAGTACTAAATATAAAGTACTAAATAAAGTAAATGCTAAATGAAAGAATT